GAGAGAGAGAGAAGTTCCTAATTGATTTTATTTATTTCAAGTGGTATTGTGCTGGAAATGTTCATTCACATTGAGATGCATTGAAGCACTAATATTAAGGACAGATATTTACCTGTTCCTTAACTTCATCTGATATGTCAAGTTTCTCATAGGAAATTTCACTTAATGCTTGTTCCAACTGAGCTGTCACTTCCTGGCATTTATTCATTATTTGTTCTCTCTCTAGGACCTGCAGGCACATAAAAGGAGGCTTACTTACAAAAGTTTCCAATCATTTGGGAGAAAGGGTCAGGCAGTAGCCTTCAGCCCTTAAGTTGACTTATTAAGCCATAAATACTAACAAAGCCATGTATTACAAAATACGTATATCCAGACCATGGGTTTGAGTTTAGTCGCATGTTCAATTATATACCAAGATCTACCGATATAAGGAAGGGGATTTCAAAGGCTGAGGAAAAATACAGTCTCGCTTGAAACAGGTTTAATTCAACAAAGAATGCACAAATCCCGAAAAAAAATGTTTCTATTTATCAGTCTCACCTTAGTTATCAAACCCTATCATCATTCAGCGCAAAGAATTTTGCCTTTATTTACAACACCCAAGAAAGGAAGAAAATAAGATTTTTTGATTGGGAAGAAAATAAGATTACAATGTCTGTATCAAATAATACAAGTAAAACAGGGGAACCTGAAGATAATATACACCATTTAGGCCACCTTTGGTATCAAATACCTCGAAACGGGTGTCATAAAGTTTGGCATACTTCAACTTTTAGTTTAAAATGGCAAAATGGCAGAACTGTCTACTAGCATCTCGATATAACTTACAGAAATTCAACCATCACTGAAAATGCATTTTTATTTTATGAACAGGATCAAAAGAGAGCTACAGTGCTGGACAATAAGAAGACCCTCATAAAATTGTACAGAAAAGTGATGCTACCAAACTGGACTACCCCAAATAGATCAGAATATTTGATCCTTTCATCTTAACATCACTCGTTGTCTTAAGAAAAATAAACAATGCCTCCAGATTAGGAAAATCAAAGGTGGGAATAAACATGGCCTAAGACAATGCCTCTAGATTGATGCTACTTAG